AGCTTCTCCATTTGGAGAATACTCATCCAGGAGAGCCCCAAAGACCCTGGCCGCAGAGACCAGGCATTAAAAATAGGGCGTCATTTACATGCAAGCTCCAAAGCCACTGGTTCTAAGTTCCCCCGCCTCTGGGCCCAAATTAGGTATCCCCACAGCACCACCAGCTCTTTCCTGGAGAGTCCAAAGGAACTCTGGGTACACCAGAAAATGCAAAATAGGTGAAAGATGCTGTAAGCTCGTTCCACACTTTGCCTCCAAGCATTAAAGCCCCTCAGGGAGTCTCTTGGGAACACCTTCTGAACCTTACTTATCATCTATGCCATCTACCCACTATCATAACTGCTTCTCCTTCCTCCACCTATTAGAACTCCAATTTACAGATCAGGCAACTGTGGTACAGGTAAATTAAGAAACTTGCCTCAGAATCTGATTTATTCAACTCCAAGATGGAACGAGCGAGCATGAGGATGAGCAATCCATGGGAAAGACTTATGGACTACACTTGAAAAAGTCATACATCACTTCTGCCCACCTTTCATTGGGCAGAACTCAGTCACATGGTCTCATCAACTGTAAGGGAGGCTGGGAAATGTAGTCCAGCTGTGTAACCCAGTGGGGAGAGAAACAAGGATTTTGGTGAACTCAGAGCTGTCTCTGCCACAGGTGCCAGGCAAAGCCCTGGAGAGTTTAAATTAGTCTAGGAAACCAGACTCAAAAGCACATCATTTTGTAACCACCTGCCTTATCCACTCCAGGGTTACAATTTAAAAAAAGAAAAAAAGGTCTCAAATATCTCACTGGACAAGACTCTGCTGGGGAGGCATGAAGCGGAACGTTACCTATGGGGAGTTATGTGGGATGCTGCTTAATGCAAAACTGAGGTATTGTTTACTGACAACTTGCTATGTGCCAGGCACTGTGACCCATGATGTAATTAATAGCTGCTCTCACTGAATTCTCACTCTGTCACCATATGACTGAGTTCTGGCCAATCCTCACCCTGATAACATTAGGTAGTGATTATGGGCATCTTTCAGATGAGAACTTGAAATGTTGAGAGGCGGTACAAGAAGACATGAGGGAACCAGAAATTGCATCCAGGTCAATGGGATCTTACAGTGCAGGTGCTTACCTCAGTGGCTTTTACTGATCTATCCTCATCTCTTCCCATCAGAAAGATAACGTGTTGTCTCTGAAGGCAGAAATATCAGGATTCCTACCTTCTCATCCTGTTATTTAAACCACAGCATTAGCTCACTGGGAAAAGAAATCATTTTCATAAAATATTCAGAATGTGGAGTATAAAAAAAAAACAAATCTAGTCACAAGAATGTTGCTAATCAGAGTGACTTTTAAAAAAATCACTGCTTAGCTGCTTTTAGGTCTTGTGTTCTACTCACAGCAAGCAAGAAAGAGTTGTTAGATGAAGACACCATGCTTATCAGACAGAGCCTCAAGCATGCTCTCAGCCCTGGGCAAACAGCCTTCAAGATCCAAAAGGAGAGAGACATGTGTGATCAAATTCTTGACTCGAAACAATTAGCAGAGTCCAACGCTGGGACCGTGGGTGTTTGCCACCCATATCTGGGACTGCAGGTTCCTCTGAGACAGTTTACTTGCCAATATGGTAAGATGGAATGTTAAGAGATGAATAGTTATGAGGCAGTTACCAAGTAGCTTTGTTTCATACTTGGAGAATTTCAGAAAAAGCATTATCAGGGACAGGACTGTATTTTTGTTGTTATTGTTTATTCATTTGTTTTCTGTTTTGGGGTAAGAGAGATGTTTCTAATTATAACACACATATTTTAAAAATATATCTGAAATATAAATGTTTTAAAATCAACATGTACATTTAATGTTGTGTTGCTTTTGTTCCGCATCCTCTCCTCCTGTAAAACTTAATTATTATTAAAGTGAAGCTGAGATTTATAACCCCTGATACCTAAGAATGAAGAAAATCTAACATAAAACACTATACAATGCGTGATTCAAGTGCCCACTTCCCTCGTCCTGTGCCAAGAAACTGGCTGCTTGTACAGGCTTTGAACAGGAGATCCTGAGAGCAGGGTCTGGATTATTTAAATTAAAAACACAAACCAAACTAAAGACAAGAAAATGCCAACAACAACATTCCTTTAAAAAAGAATAGACTGCATTTTAAATATTCATTTAAATATGCAGTAACACACTACTATACATTTTTGTCTGTTTTCTCTTTGATGATATTTCATTTGCAGACTCTCCATGGCTTATAAAAATAGACCCAGAGTCCACATCTCCAAAACATGAGATTTTTCACATCCTCTAATTTGCAGTAATGTATTTGTGTCAAATTCCCTCTTCAAGCCACCCAGGGACAAAACTGGCATGCGGTGCCTCTGCTGCATAAACTAACATTTCAGTCCAGCCAGGCACCATGGGAGCCTGAGGAGTAGGGTATGAGCTTGGTTACTGTGAGAGTGTCTCCTCCAATGTTGAACCCTTAGTCTCACACTTGTGGATGGGGTTTTACCACAAATCACGAGCTCTCCAGGTCTGCTCAGTGCCTGTGGTAGAGACAGCTCGGAGTTCACCAAAACTTGTTGGTTTCTCCCACTTGGGTACACAGCTGGACTACATTTCCCAAGATCCCTAGCAGTTTATGAGACCATGTGACTGAGTTCTGGCCAATGGGGAGGTGGGCAGAAGTAATATATGACTTTTCCAGGTGTTTTCCATAAATCTTTCCCATGAATTGCTCATCCACAGATTTTCTTGTTCCATCTTTGAGTTGAATGAAACCAACTCTAAGGCAAGTTACTTAAGGTAATTGTGTCTCAGTTGCCAATCTGTAAAACTGGAGTTAAAAATTCACTTCGACCTCTGGAATAGCTACCAGGAACAGTAAACAAAGTGAAAAACAAGGCAGTAGAGCTTAGTGGTTACCTTCACAGTGTGTGAAAGCAGAATGACTGGATTCAAAGGTTGGCTTTGTAGTCATGACTTTGGACAATTTACTTAATCTCTCAACCTAGTTCTTATTCTCTAAAATATAAATAACTAATACTGCCCTGATAGGAACGTGGTGGGGAATAATTGAGATTAAGTATGTAAAATGCTTAGAACAGAATAAGCCTGGCACCTAGGGAGTGCTAAATAAGCCTTGGCTGCTACTATTACTACTGCTGCTACCACTGCTATTAAAATAATAAGGATGATTTTAGTATCTTAAATGTGCTTAGAAGAGTGCCTGGTGCATAAGGTAAGTATTTATAAATGTTAATCATTATTACTTTCTGCAAAATACAGTTAACACTAGAATCTACCAGAATTAAGTGAAACAGTGGGTCTGAAGTCTTATTATATATAGTACCTAGCACTGGGGAAAAACTTTTGGCATTTAGTAACCCCTGATCCTTTTTTAAAATAACTTTTTTGAAATGGAGTCTCACTGTGTCAACCAGGCTAGAGTGCAGTGGTGCAATCTTGACTCACCTCAGCCTCTGCCTCCCGGGTTCAAGTGATCCTCCCACATCAGCCTTCCAAATAGCTGGAATTACAAGCATGTGACACCACACCCAGCTAATTTTTGTATTTTTGGTAGAGACAGTGTTTCATCATGTTGGCCAGGTTGGTCTCAAATCCCTGACCTCAAGTGATCCACCTGCCTCAGCCTCCCAAAGTGCTGGGATTACAGGTGTGAGCCACCACACCTAGACCCCTGATCCTCTTCAATGCCACACGTGCTGCACTGGAAAAGAAGAAGCCATGGGTCAGGACCAGGAATTGGGCAGAGATGGCATCATCACCACAAGGAGGCAGAGACCGAGCGAATACATGCAACAAAATCAAATATCATTTGAGCTTGAATTCATCCAGTTCTAGGCTTTCACCCAACTAGAATCATAAGACAGTTCAGGGCCAAGACGGACAGGATTCTTCACTGGGGATCTAAGATTCTGCAGGGGTCCCTATATAGAACACAGTGAGTCCATGAACTTGGATAGGAGAAAAATAAAACTTAATTTCCACTAGTCTTTAAAAAAGCAGGCATTCCCTTTAATTTTAAAGATAAGCCGCAACATCCAGTAGTATTACCAGTACCTGTGACTTTGTCACCAAGAGAAATCACAGATATTTTACTCACATTACATTATAATTGTCACAGATATCTCAAAATATCATAATGCTTATCGCTACTTCCAAATTACGGTCATTACTAGACTTGCTTGTTTAACATGCTAATAAAGAAAGCAAAGATTTCACTAAATCATGTTTTATGTAATAAGTGTATTTCAATATAAATAGTTTCCTTTGTGATTCTAAGTGTTTTGTATTGTGCTTTTGAAATCTTTACTCTGCAAAGAGGCCCATAGTTCTCCCCAGATGCCCAAGAGGGTCATGAAACAGAAGAGGTTAAGGGACCTCAGTCTAGGGTCTGCAGAAAGTCCTCAATTCCATATACATGCAGAAACTAGGCCAGAGTCCAGATGCCTGTCAGCAACTACTAAAGTGTCTTTAACTCTGGCAGGCCTTTAACCTCCTGTACCCTCTGATAATGCATCTTCAAAAAAGAGTTACTATTCTTCCCAAATCTTTCATAGGATTACTATAGGATTCAAATAGGATGACGAATGTGAATCTGCTGGCTGAAAGTAACAGATTCTGCACAAACTTGGCCATTATTCATGTCATCCCTTGGAGACTCCATAGATCCTTGTCCTCTGGGTCTTTGTGGCTATTCTCTAAGTGTTGCCCCCAGCCCTTTCTACTACAATGCTACCAAAGGAAATCTGTCAAGAACCTTGGGAGGCCAAAAACCAGTAGAGGCACTGGAGTCAGACTGTGGGTTGAATCCTGGCAGTACCCCTCACTAACTGTGCGATCACTGACCAATACTTTTAGCCCTTCAAGCCTCTGCTTCCTCTTGTTTAGAATGGAAAGAATGACAACATAATGACATGAATGGAACAAAGTACATAACAGAGTGTCCAGCAAGCAACACCAGTGCAGGAGTCAGTGATGATCAGAACTGAGATGAGAATGGAGTGCTTGCCATCATCACTGTCATGGGTGTCGCTGGCTCACCGTGGCAGGCAGTTAGTTCCCACGGACTATCCATGTGCTCCTCAACTTCTCAGGCCTCTTGTCACAGGTACCTTGGGATATGTTCTAGCTGGTGGACTGTGAGTAGAAGGATGTGTGCCCTCTCTGCGCTAAGGCACTGAAAAGCTCAAGGGAGAGTCCCCATTTCCTTTCTCCCTGCCCCCGGAGTGATAATGGAGGTGTATATTGACCCAGAAGCCACAAAAGAGAAGTATCCCGTATTGCTAGGTGAACGGATAGAGAGAGCCACCCTAGAGAGTCAGCCAGCTCTCATCAGGGACAGCATGGGTGAGAAGCCTCTGTTGGGAAGACCATTGAGATTTCATGGTTAACTTGTTAGTGTAGCTTAGCCTCTCCTGATTAATATATGAATTAAGAAAATGGGTCAGACATGGTGGCTCACAGCTGCAATCCCAGCAATTTGGGAGGCCAAAACAGGTGGATCACCTGAGGTCAGAAGTTCAAGACCAGCCTGGCCAACATGGTGAAACCCCATCTCTACTAAAAATACAAAAATTAGCCAGATGTGGTGGTGCACACCTGTAATCTCAGTTATTCAAGAGCCTGAGGCAAACGAATCATGTGAACCTGGGAGGCAGAGGTTGCAGTGAGCCGAGATCTCACCCGTGTACTCTCCAGCCTGGGTGACAGAGCAATACTCTGTCTCCAAAAAAAGAAAAGAAAAGAAGCAGGTAACACCCTGAAATGATACCAGTGGCTAGACAGCCCATGAGACATGCCTAGAATTTAGGGCTTTCCTCTAGGACAAGAGCATACAATCCATCTGCAAGATCTGGAAAGAACCTGGTCCAAAGGTGATCCAAGGAACTTCTCCCTCCAGCTTCCACTTGCCATCCGAAACCTCTGCTGTCCCAGCACAGCATTTGCTCATTGGAACTCAGGAAGCCTTCTTGAGATACTGCATTTGTAGCCCGTCCCCATTAGCTGAACCACTAACATGCTGTCTCATACAGCATGCTCTCCCCTTCTCTACAAAGGTGCAAGCAGCTCTGAGCATTGCAAGGAGCTCCCAATATCTACTCAATAAGGAGGGGGCTGTAGGACCAGAATTCTTGCCTGTGCTGCCGCTGAAGACAGTACTGGGGCAAAGCAGAAAACGTAACTAACACATTTCAAATTAACATGTAAAACGCATCAGATGTTCGAGTATTAATTAATATTTTTGCAAACTAATTACATTAGAATGACAAGGCCACGAAGACACTAAAAGAGTTTACTAATTTTGGTCCCCTCCTCCTGTTTTAAATGGCTGCATGGATTACCACTTTATTCAATTTTTCGTTTTTTTAATTTACCAGAAACGATCTAAACACCATACCATGTCACGGCTATCATCATTTATTCATAGCGCAACAGAGGAAGCCGGAACAGCAATAACTCTTTTCACCCCCCTAATTGTCATTCTGGTGAGATAAGTGGGATATCAGCCCCAAGTCAAGCTACATTAGTGCCGGGAATCAGGCACAGTCACGAAGTTTCTCCAAAGTGTGTTAGCATCATTTATCGCGAGAAGTTTGTGTGAGCAATGTAGACTTTAACCCAAGGGGGTTTTCAAGCCTGCTTCCCCCATCTTTGTTGGACTGCTGGTTCAGAAGGCAAATTGCGCAGAATCAAATACTTTGTCTCCTAGCCATAAGGCCTTGGGTGGGTCCCCTAAACTCTTCTGAGCCTTGTTTTCTCATCTGCTAAATGCAGTCTATTAATACTCGTTTTCCTAAGTTCACTGGAAGGAATAAAAGAGGTAATTTATATATAATACTTTGTTCAGTGCCCAGCATACAGTGAGCATTAATAAATGTCGGCTGTTGTCACTGCTGCCCCTATAACCACCACTAGCATCACTGTTACCATTATCATCACCATGACCAGGAGTCACCTTCGCTGCCCTTCATCCACATGTGCCGCTGATTTTCCAGGTCTCCCCTCCTGCCCTACCCCTTTATCCAGACACACAGTTGATCCAAAGCAATCTCTTTGCTGTTTATCAAACTTGCTTTCAGATTACTAAAATATGTCATGGAGTGTGGTGTCTGTATATGGTCTCCAATGCCTCTGACTGGTTCTAGAGCAAGAGTGAGGTGGGAGGTAGGACTCAACTCTGGAGGTGGAGCTCAGACACTGGACCAAACTGAGGACTAGCTAAAACACAGATGGGGCAGAAGCAGCTTTCCATAAGACACGCCCACCAGTGTGTCCTGTCAGTTTACCATCACCATGGCAACACCCAGGCATTACTGCCCTTTCCATGGCAACAACCCAAGGACCCAGAAGTTACTACCCTATTTCTAAACATTTCTACATAATCCAGTCCTTAATTTGCATGTAATTAAAAGTAGATCTAAATAGGACAGCACCACTGCCTGAGCTGCTACTCTGGGCACACACCCTTCAGGGTAGCCATGCTTGGGAAGAAGCGGTCCCTCTGCTACTGCTGGACACTGACGCTTCAATAAAAGCTGCTATATAACACCACTGCTTGCCCTTGAACTATTTCTTGGGCAAAGCCAAGAACCCTCTTGAGCTAAGGCCCAATTTTGGGGCTCGCCTGCCCTGTCTGTGGGTAAATGGGAAAGGAAGACCCATCTCATCTGAAGCTAGGCTTCCTGGGAGAGCTGAACATCCCCCTCAAGGTACTCACTCTCCCCCTTGAACCCACTTCTTTTACAGCTTAGCTAAACACCTCTGTTCACCAATCAGTGTATTTTCATAGATCACAGACTCTTTGAGAGGATAAAAAGTGTTTCATTCATTTTAAGTTACCAGGGTCTAAAAGAGTGGCTATCACACATTAGTTGCTCCATAAAGCTCGTTGAATAAATGCATGACCCCTCCAAAGAAGTCCTGCTAATCAATGCGTAGTTTGCTTCATTCTAGAACCACTGAGCCCAGCCTGAGGAGCAGCCAGCATCTCTCTTCCCTTCCCCTGAACAGAATCAGTACTTCTTTTATTCTCTTCGGAGGGAGCACAGGACCCTACATGGATCTCCTCCTTCTTATCTGAACATTTATAAAACTTTGCCCTTGGCTTGGGGTTTCTACAATCAACCAATTTCACTCCCCATGTTCTAGACTGATTCTGAACATCCCAGCATTCCCTTTAACCATTGCATCTCCAAGCCTTCTCCCATATCCTCCATGAAAGCCCCACCACTGTGGCTGAGTCCGTCTCTCCTTTTGCCATTGACAAAACATGGTGAATCCTCGGAATTATGCAATGTTACAGACTATGACAGGCTGGAGCCTCTGCTGCTCTGTCTAATTTGGTGCACAGAGTCTGAGAGCTGGAGTGAAGTATGAGCCCGGGAGCACATCTTTTGATCTTAAACAGTCAGAAGGTTGGAATGTATAATGCTATGGAAATAAATGGTGTCAAAACTGTAGGAAATAATATATGGTTGTGGGAATGGGTTTTGTGATCACAGAGCACTCACAAAATCTTAAAACAGGCAGTCAACGAGGCGGCTGGTTGAGCTGTAGCAGGGGAAGCCTTGGAAGATGAGATAATTTAGATGAGGAGAGATGAGATTTTTCTCCCCAGGGTTAAAAGACTGAGTCTTTGCCTCTAAGAGACTGGAGGTGACTGCTGACTTCACTTTCCCGGCACCCCAGCTCGTTTGAGGGTGTAACAGTCTTGGGTGTCTCAATTTCCCTCCTGTTACATTTGTGACTCATTTAATTAACCATGTTAAGCCTCAGTTTGCTCATCTGTAAAACAGAAAAAATGACAGTACTCACTTCACAGGGTTATTGTGAGGATAAAATCACATAAGATGAGGTGTGCAGAATGACTTGCAGAGTGCTTGTCTGGCGCAGACTCCGGGGCTAATTAAAAGCTAGCTTTCTTCCCATTTGGTTTTTTTTTCTTCATTAACACCCACCACAATGTAAAAATGGTAGATCCTTCTAATTCATTCCCCAAACCTCACAGCAACAGAAACCCAGTTTTAATAGAAGAAGCAGATAAATCTTACAACTGCTTACTTTTCCAGAGACCCTTAATTTTTTTTTTTTTTTTTGAGACAGTGTTTTGTTTTGTCACCAGGCTGGAGTGCAGTGGCGCTATCTCCGCTCACTGCAACCTCCACCTCCCGGGTTCAAGCAATTCTCCTGCCTCAGCCTCCCAAGCAGCTGGGACTACAGACCTGCACCACCACGCCCAGCTAATTTTTTATATTTTAGTATAGATGAAGTTTCACTATGTTGGCCAGGATGGTCTTGATCTCTTAACCTCGTGATCTACCCGCCTCGGCCTCCCAAAGTGCTGGGATTACAGGCTGAGCCACCGCGCCCAGCTGAGACCCTTAATTTTTACAGAGCAAGATGCTTCTGAAAGACTCTTAGGACTGATGCTTCCATACAGTTCAGAGGCTGGGGATTGGTTCTAGTTGATACTTCTGCGATTTCCTATTGTAGCTTAGAATGAATCACCAAGTACACTAACAAAAGTAACCACTACAAAAACTAGCACGTATTATAGACTACTTATGTGCCAAAGAATATGCTGATTGCCTTCTCTGAGCTACAGCATGCCTTCCAACTTCTCAGAATAAGCCCTAAGGCTCTTTCTTTAATTGTCCTCATGTTATGGAGCAGACAAGGCAAACAAAGGTTAATTCATTTGCCCGAGTTTCACCACTCATTGGGATTAGAGATAAAAAACGACAGTCATGCTTCTCCTAGCGGGAAAAGCCCGGTGTTGCAGTCAGACAAACCTGGTTCAGACATGGGTCCCACTATTTCCAAGTAGATCTGGCCAACTACATCACGTCTCTGCATCTTAGTTTCTTTGTTACATGGAGACATTCACACTCATTTCAAAGACTGCTGTAAAGATAATGCAGTGCTTGGGACTCCGTACACATGCGGCACATGATGGCTGCAATTACTAACGCCTCTGCTGCTGCTGTTCTGCAAAGGTTCTTGCTCATCTCCCCGCTGAGTGCTTCCAGATGTCAGTTTTCTGGTTAATCAGCGTCTCACCAGCATCTCATATCAGCTGTTTCTTCTCTCTGCTCATTTTTTCCCTCT